CTTCTCTCCGTCCATTTTCTCTCTCTCTGGTGAATCTAGGTCAATCTTTTTTTTCTTGAATAAGAGGATTTTAAGAAATCCATCCACGTATTTACCCTCAATAAAATATCATCCCCTAACATTTGGTGCCGTGACCGGTTATTTTTATTATTCTACAATAATAAAAATCTTACCAGACAAAACAAGCTTATCTTATCAATGTGAAGTCACCATGACGAGTAAGTGCAAATAAAATTTTCTTTATTATTATTACGATTACCCACCGGGTCGAGAGGATATTCCGATTACGGAGTAGCCTGCATTTTCGTTTCCATCGATAACCGATTAAAGAGGAAGTTCCTTTGGAATTGCCTGATCCACACAAATACACGTTACGATTAAATTCCGAATCAACATCAAGAAATAATTATATTACAAACAACGGCTTATAATTTACGAAGTATTGATACTAATCCGGAATTAACCGGTGACCTATTAACAGGAACGTCCGAACGTACACTAAAAAAAATTAACGCGAGAATTCCGGACCAACAATACTAGATACATTAATCAACATACCCATACAATGTCTACCAATGTCCAAGATTCAGCAATGATGATATGCTATCGTGAATGCTTAACAAATTTAGGCAAATTTAATGGCGGGGAGGATCACAAAATTTTACAATTTATTAATAATATTGAACGAATTGGACGAATGATCGATGCGAATGATGGTATTTTACAGTGCATGTGTACGGCGAAATTAGATGGCGAGGCAAAGCGTTGGTACGAGAATAACATGTCATTAACTCAATGGGATAGTTTGAAATCGGCATTGTTAGAAAGATTCACAACATCGAGGTCATCATCTAAAATCTTTGAACAATTAAAGGAACGCAAACAGAAACCTGATGAAACAATCACCTCATATTATGATACTATCATTACATTATGTCAGGAATATGACTCATCCATGTCACAAAAAATGATGATTTCATGGTTAGAAAATGGAATTAAAGATTCGTTAAAGATTCAAATAAAACGACAGATGAAATTATTACCTGAAGCAACACGAACCACACAAGCATTTTTAAAAATTGCAAAAGATGAACAAGAATTACAGAAGGAGAACCCTCCAGAATCTGAACCAACACCAACATATATGCCATACTTTGCCAACACCGTATCAACAACATTGCAACAAACACAAAAAACACTTGAAGAAGAACCACCATCTACATACTCGCCACCACGTTTCGCCACATACGGACAAAATAAACACTATGGATCATCATCTAAATTCTTAAAACCATTAATGTCTGCATCGCACAACCAAGCCTCAAGTTCTCAATCACGACCAATTTCACGTCCACAACGATCATCTCAAACATTTATGAATAATTTACAACATAATCAGCAGCAAAATTATAAATCGTTTCATCCACGTAAACAAAATATTTCCCAAACTAATCCTTGTTCCATATGTCAGCGTATGAATCATCGAACAATTGAGTGTTATTACAAGAAACCGAATGGATGTTACAAATGTGGACAATTCGATCATCAAATATACGATTGTCCGCAGGTTTTCTATTAACTGGAACCCGTGATGGTGGTGATTCCAGTAATAAAGTACAATACCCATCAACAACAAATTATACATCATTAACACCGTCCACTCCTATTTATATAAATGTCCAAGTTAATAACAAACAACATCATGCTATTCTCGATACAGGATCTGCAGTTACCATTATTAGTCAACAATTATTAAAAAGGATTCACCACAAGAAATTCATAAACAAACACAAATTACACAAGTCAGCCAACTGCACATCTATTGACATTATCGGCGAAATCCAGTTGGAAATTAAAATACACAATTATAAAACATTTATTACCGCCGATGTTGCAGCAAATCTCGTAACTGACCTACTATTAGGCAATGACTGGATTAAAAACAACAACATTATCATCAACACACCCCAACAACATATTATTATTGTTGATGAATATCAACAGATAATAACATCAACACCATTCGTCGAACCACCTGATCTTAAATTACACATTCTCTTAATTGATGAAATCACCCTTCCACCTTACTCAGAAAAGTGCATTGATGCAAAAATTTCATCACCCATCAAGAATAATGCTGATGTTATGTTTGAACCCACACCCAATTTACATTCGAAACAAATTTTACTGGCAAATGCATTACTCAAGGTAAAAAATAATAAAGCGAAAATTATGATCATTAACGCCAATGATCACCAGCGAACATTATCAAGAAATACTCAATTGGGTACGATTTCATGTAAACCTGAGTCAAGTAATTATCTTGTCTTACCGACATTACCAAATAACTCAAACACAAGATTACCGTGTTCACCTAAGCTACGACCATCATCAATCCACGAGAGGAACAACAACACTCTAGTTGGTTGGGCCTGCGCTCAGAAATCTCCGGAAAAAAGGAAGGTTCGAAATACGGACTTTGCCTGTTACATAGAGCACAAAAATACATCAAATTGTCAATGTTATATTTGTCAAGAACAATTTTTATCACGAAATGATTTACAACAACACCTACGTCAAAAGTGCTATCCACCAGAAATACGTGAACAAATTGAAAAGTTAACCGAACATATTGAAGATGTAAAACAACGTCAAAAATTACAACATATTTTATGGAAACACGGGAAATTATTCGATCTTAGACAATCTTCAGTAATTAAAGCAACAATTTACCATGCTATTGAAACTGGTGATCATCCACCTGTCTATACATCACCATATCGAGTCTCCTATAAAGATGAACAAATACAACGAGAAGAAATAAATAAACTATTAAAACAAGGTGTAATTGAAGAATCTACATCTCCTTGGTCATCACCCATCGTCCTGGTTCGAAAGAAGGACGGATCCGTACGATTTTGTATCGACTTTCGAAAACTTAACAATATAACGACAAAAGATGCATTTCCCATACCTCGAATCGATGATATTTTTGATCACTTATCTCAAGCCGAATATTATACTACGATCGATTTCAAATCCGGTTATTTTCAAGTCGGACTTGATCCCAAAGATCGCCCAAAGACAGCATTTTCTACAAGAGATCAACACTTTCAATTTACCGTATTACCTCAAGGTGTTACTAATGGTCCACCTGCATTTCAACGCATAGTTAGCAAAATACTTGGACCAACACGATGGCAATATTCATTAGCATACCTTGATGATGTTATTATATATTCATCAACCTTTGATCAACATTTAACTCATCTTGATGATATTCTCAATCGCCTAAATGATGCCAATTTTCGTCTCAATATTGACAAATGTCATATAGCTAAAACGTCGATCGATTATCTAGGCCATCATATAGAACATAGCAATATTAGACCAAATGCAGATAATATCCGGGCATTATTAGAAACTGCACAACCAACAACAGCGAAAGAAGCTTTTCGATTTGTTAAAGCCGCAGAGTATTATCGCAAATTTATACCAAGATTTTCCACCATCGCACAACCACTACATAAATTTGCACCAACGACTAAAGAACAACGATCACAAAAGTCTCAATCGACACCTATTACTTTATCCAATGAAGAACTTGATGCATTTAATGAACTAAAACGAATATTAACAAATGATTTGGTACTACGTATTCCTAATGAACAATTACCCTTTAAAATACAGACTGATGCATCAAAAATTGGAATTGGAGCTGTGCTTATGCAGACTCATCCAAATGGCGATTTACCAATAGCTTATTTATCAAAAAAATTTACATCAACACAAATGAATTGGCCAGCAACAGAACAAGAATGCTATGCAATTATCTATGCAATCGAAAAATGGCACAAATATTTAGATGAACGTCCATTCACAATCGAAACTGATCACAAACCATTACTGCCATTTAATTTAAAACAACAATTAAATTCAAAATGTGAACGATGGCGTTTAAAACTGCAACAATATCAATTTACCATTCGATATATTAAAGGAAAACATAATACGGTTGCTGATTATTTATCACGTTCACCAGTAGATAGTGGAACAAATGATGAAGATGATTATACTCCAACAAAATCCCGAGCTACACAAACCGACACTTTTATGAAAACGCACATTGTCGCACCTGTTATGACTCGTGCACAAGCACAACAACAAGTCAATGAAAGGATTGATTGTCATTCGACAAATCAAGCCTGTAATGAACCACAGCAAAAAAGGAACGTCGACAAATTGGTCGATAATTCCTGTGTGACACAGCATAAACAATTATATGCAATGGACATTAATGATGATCATAACAAAATTTTACCATTTACTCATGAACAACTGAAAGAATTACAACATCAAGACGAACAAACACAACACATCATAACGAATATTAAAGATTTCGACGACTATTTCATACAAGATGATATGGTAATGAGGAAATCTTGTCCGCCAGTACCATTTGTGCCCAAAGGAAGAATTCGCGCCGACATAATGAAAATTTACCACGACACACCAGCTAATGGAGCACATTTTGGTCGAGATAAAACTATTCACAAAATTCAACGACGATATTTCTGGCCAAACATGATTTCGGACATACGAAATCATATCAAATCATGTATTCCTTGCTGTCAAAATAATTATATGCGTCGAAAACCACCAGGTGCATTAAAACCCATTAGGCCACCAGAAGGAACCTGGCAATTATTAGCAATGGATTTTCATGGACCCATTGTACCAACAACAAAAAGCGGAAACAAATATATTATTTCCTTAACCGATGTTCTGTCGAAATTCGTCATTACACAAGCGGTGCGTGATTGCACTGCATCAACTGCAGCACGTTTTATCACAGAAGAAGTTATTCTTAAATATGGAACTCCTAAATGCATACTCACAGACAATGGCACACATTTTACTGCTTCAATGATGTCTGAATTATTAAAAAAAATTGGTATCACGCATTTATATTCTACACCTTATCACCCGATGACAAATGGGCAAATTGAACGATATAATGCAACTATGGATTCAAAAATAGCAGCGTTATCGAATGAAAACCGAACGAATTGGGATGAACAATTACCGTTCGTTACTTTCAATTACAACTCCAGCATCCACACAACAACAGGACAAATACCATTCGAAATGATGTACGGTCGTTCACCGGTATTACCCTTCGATCAACAACAACCTATTGTCACACTCTCAGAAGATTCACAACACGTCAATAAATTAAAACAATATCTATCAACATTAACTGATCAAGCAAAAAATAATATCCTGCAACAACAACATAAATATAAAGAACGATATGATCGCTGTCGCGCAAATCCAATACACAAAATTAATGATCTTGTGTTAATAAAAACACTCCATCGACGAAATAAATTTGATATTAGATACGAAGGACCATTCCGTATAATACAACAACTTGGTACAAAAACGTTCGTCGTTAAACACATAAAAAAGCCCACACTGATACGACAAGTTACGACAGATGTCATCATCTCACTATTTGAACGGAAAAATGTGGATTAAAGATGGATTGGACTAATAATATCAATGATATACCTATTTACCGTTGTCCGTATACAATACGGTGCACAATTTATTTGGAATTCTCTTTCCTTTCTGTCCCTTTACTATACGCATTTTTTTTCTTCTCTTTCCTTTCACCTGTTTTCTACTTCTATATATCTTAGGGAGACATCTCTTTATGTTTTTTCTTTTCCATCTGAGTGCATTTTTTTCTTTTCTCCCTTCTCTCTCTCTCGTCCGACAAATATACATACACACACCACCGTCACACATCTACATTACGAATTACTATTTATTTACCACTACATACTGAAATTAGCCAAAAATGTAGGCGACCGACCGTAACATTATCAATCATGACCATTATTGGAATTATAATGAAATTTTTAACAACGTAATAATTACACATCGATTATGATAATAATATCATCATTACGACTTACCATTATTTAAATAATGCTCATATTGATATGAATCCCATAAGGATTCATGGGAGGCAATGAGGAAACAACTATAGGATTCATTACCTGGATCCTGGATATATATATTTTTTCGTTTCAGATATTGAACACCCGTATCAATTTATCACCAACAGAAAAACAAACATTTTATTACCAATACAAAAAAAGAAAAAAAGAAGAATTATTACTATTATTATTATTAACAACAACAATAATAGCAGATAACATGTCGAACGATTATCACCGACGCTCAAATCATTATCATGCATCATCATCATCACATCATCATCGATCCACCAATTCATCATTTACTAAACATAATCGATCTTATTATTCATCACCGTTAGAGAAATTAGATAAATTAACCAAGAAATTTACACCGAAGAGAGTATTAGAAAATGACAAATATAACAAGCTGTGTCAAAATGGTGAGTGTGATCTATTTGAAATTCCATCTTCTTCATATAGATATTATTATATACATCGAGCAACATCTATGGACATATTAAATGATTTAATTGATTATGCCAGTCAAACAACACATTATACAATTGACACTGAAGATCAAATGCAGTCCCCACCTCATCGATCATTGGCAGCATTAATCCAAATCGAATTTACTTATTTAAATGGTCCATCTATTATCATTCTTATTGAAACTTTACATCTACCACCGGAAAATTCTCAAACATTTAACAAAATAAAACAATTGTGCAAAATTATATTTTCGGAAGGCCATCATGTTTATTCTTGGGGAGAATTAGAAGATGAAATGGGAAAATTTTGCAAGTTTAATTTATTTGATATAGATGATATTAATCAAGTAACACCAAACAACACACAAAAGGGTTTTAAAAAATGGTACAATGAAAATTATCCAACATCAATATATCTTAAAGAGAATGATAATGATAAATATTCATTGCAATTAGCCATTTATTTAACTTTTAATGAATGGCTAAATAAAAGAATGACTTTAGCCAATTGGGGATGTGGTATTGATATGAAATTAGAAACATTTACTCCAAAACATCCTATTCAACATAATCAACATCAAATTATCGAAGATGAAAAATACGTTCGTGAACTGATGACAATTTACGCAATGAATGATTGTTTTTCAGTCACAAAACTTGCTCAACATATAGAATCATCGGAAAAATCAACACAACCACCTACAATTCAATATAATGATATATCTGAACAAAATGACGAACAAATAATAATAAATGATAACGAACAATCGATTAATTTATGTCCATTAAATGATGATAGTGAAGACAAAGGGGTTCATGTACAATATGAACTTCCAATGTCTAATGATTTAAATGAAGTTAACAGAATAACACCCGAACCATCAAATGAAGTTCATGGACAATATGAACTTACAAATGAAATCGAAATGATCTCTGATGATGATGAACACCAAGAATTAAATGATAATGAACGTCCACATAAAATGCAACATGAAACATTAACAAGAACGCAAAGAAAAAATCGTAAGCGACGTGAAAAGCGATATCGATTTGAAATTATAAGAAAAATTTATCATAAATTTACCATCAGCAATATCAAACAGATACTAATCAACATGAACATTTACTACATAAATATCAATGTAGTGGGAGATACATTGTTCGTCGGATTAAAAAATGATCTGATACGCAAACAAGTAGACGACTTATTACACAATGGCATGTTCACAAAGGAACATTATTGTCGAATTAACAAAAAGTCGCGACATACATGACAGGAACGACAATTTCTTCTTATGTTTTTTTATATTATTTTTACTTATATCTGGTTATATTTTGTTTCTGAATCAGATGTTTTTTTGTTTGTTTTCTGTGTTTTTTTTTCTGTACTTCTACTGTTTGATGTCAAGAAAAAATCTCTCTTATATACGTTCACACGTTACATCATTTTTCTTTCTTTTCCTCTTTCAACCATGTGTGCGGACACACATCTTATTTAGGGGGGTCGATTGTTACAGGCTCTGCCTTCACATATAACTATTAACTCGCGTTCCGCTATGATTCATCTTCTTTTCTCTTGTTCGATCACTTATCTCACTATTATATTCTTTGTTGTTAGGATCTGATCTATCTTTTCCTTTGTTCTATGATCTAGTAGTCCGCCACACTCTCTCTATATATACACATGTATTTTTCTTTTTTAAATAAACTAGTGAAAAGAGACACATCTAACTTTCCTCTCTTCTCTCCGTCCATTTTCTCTCTCTCTGGTGAATCTAGGTCAATCTTTTTTTTCTTGAATAAGAGGATTTTAAGAAATCCATCCACGTATTTACCCTCAATAAAATATCATCCCCTAACAATGACAATAATAATTTCCTAAGAAAGGAAAAATATTTTTCTAGAAGAATTTTGTTTTTTAAATTATGCTATTACCTTTGAACAAATTTAAAACTTCAAGCTGTATCATACTAAAAACCGATTGATGTCGACCATAATTTTTATTTCTATTATCAGTACCAAACGATGTCAGTTTTTGAAATATCAAGATTATGTTTTTTTAATATATTACGTAATGTATCAACAGTATGTTCAGCTACTTCACATGGTTGTTCAACAACTTCTAATACAGATCTCACAATATCGGATTGAATTGTAAAGTAATTAATGATGAATGGAAACATCCTTTATGTTCCCCTTGTTAGAGCCATCAAAAGATAATGAATAAAATGAAGATTGATAAACTTGTTGAATAATTTTAGCAGTAAAAAATGGAACTAAAATTATAACATATTTTATAAAAAGATGAGTCAACATTGAGCATAAATGTCTTCTAAATACAAATATTGAATAGTTTCTCGTATTTCTTTTTATTAGATATTTTTTTTTGCTAAAAGTACTTCAGATAGAATTAACTTACCAAGAACATTTACTGATAATTCACGCGCTTTTGTTTTGCCGCAAGTGGTATTGTATCCAATTTGAGATTCATCAAAAATCTTTTTGAAAAGACCATGCAACTGTACATGATTGACTGATATAATTATGTCCATGACGGACACCATGATAAACAAGATTAAGTTCAGCTGCAGTTAATTTAGTTAATGTTGATGATGGTGGAATAAAATCATGTATTGATCCTGCTTAATAACAAGGATAAACTATTCAATAAAATGTACTGCATATCAATGTTATACTTTACAATTTTCTTTTGCTTGACTTTGAGCTAAACGTTTATGACTAGCTTGTTCATATATGACGATTAATCAAATAAATACCACCATTAGAAATAGAAAAATCTGATTGACATATAGAACAATGGGCAAAATGTTTATTAGTTCGATATTCTCTGAGAAATGCTGCATATTTCGGATCTGTCAACCATTGTTGGTTAAAGATACAACGTCTTTTTGACTTTGATGAAATGTTTTTTTTTTCTTTGATATTGGTAATTGGTTTGTCTTGAAAATTAGGAGATACTTTTACCTGTTATTCTGAATACTTCTGAATCTTCAGAAATTTCAATTGAATAATCCTCGTTCAATTCCACGCGAAGATTATTATCAAATCCATTGAAGAGAAAATCTAAAACTAGATACATTTTTGAAACAATATGAATTTGTCAAATAGTTATAATAGGAAAAAGTAATGAAACAATGAGATTTGAGAAAACAAGAAAAATTCATTAAAATTCATTTAATTGTTCGTACTGAAAATAGTATGTAAAACCGAATAATTCAAGGCGAAATTAAACAAGATGAATGTTAATATCTACTGGTCAGTTCTTTACCAATACATTTTCTTCTAGATGCCTTTATAAAAATGACAAAACTCTAGTAGAAAACATAGCTTATATTCATTAGAAGATTAGGTTATTGCATCGCAGACTTAAAAGCCTAAAAGGGGTACAAAATATGTACCCCATGGGTACAAAATTTTCTGAGGTACAAAATGACGAAATGGAATACAGTTGGCAGCCCTGCTTCCAACCCATATCTACAAATCCGCAATCTAACTAACTGACCTTCCTGCATTCAGAAGCGTAATCCGTTGATATCCAGATAGCGAAAATCTATGATTGACTGAACACTGAATACCAAAAGCTTGCGATTTATTGAGTTTCATTGATACAGTAATCTCCTGGACCGATTTTATTCAATCAATTAGAGCGTGGACAAACATATCAACATCTCAAGACTGATCATTTCGATCCTAAGAATAGTGTTTCAAACTACATAGATAGTAAATTCGAGGATTTGTTTTTTCAATATCTTTGGTGAAACTTTTTGTGAAACACGATCTAAAAGGAGTGTTGAAGGGTTTAGGGGTAGAAATTTATCCCCCCCCCCCCCCCCCCCCCACAGACCGTGACAGAGAATCGGGGTACCCATCACAGACCGTGACAGAGAAGGGGGTACCCATCACAGATCGTGACAGAGAAGGGGGGTACCCATCACAGACCGTGACAGAGAAGGGGGTACCCATCACAGACCGTGACAGAGAAGGGGGTACCCATCACAGACCGTGACAGAGAACTCGGGTACCCATCACAGACTGTGACAGAGAATCGGGGTACCCATCACAGACCGTGACAGAGAACCCTGGGTACCCATCACAGACCGTGACAGAGAACCATGGGTACCCATTACAGACCGTGACAGAGAACCCGGGTACCCATCACAGACTGTGACAGAGAATCCAGGTACCCATCACAGACCGTGACAGAAAACCCTGGGTACCCATCACAGACCGTGACAGAGAAACTGTAGTTGTAAAGTATCAGATATACGGTCAGCTACAAATGTGTCGTATGGAAATTGAACAAAAGGATTTCCATTTAATTAGTAACAAAAGGTCATCGTGTTTCACATTTTCAATTCCGCAAGGGATTACGCTAACAGCTTTTTTCCAAAACTCGATTTTTAGTTGTTGTTGAGTTGCCAATAAGATTCGGAAGAAAATCGAGCACAGAATAGAACTTCTCATCTTCAATTATCTATAGGTAGCAATTTTTCGAAAAACGTGATTTCTATTGGTTCCTGGTCTACCAATCAGACACCAAACAAACATACGAATTTTCGTTGTGAAGGCTGTATCCTTTCAGGATTGAGAATAATCATGATGATTTGAGACATTATTGGATTTCTGAAGTGCGAGAATTGTATTTTGATAACGGGAAACAGACATAAGAATAGCATATGATGAATAAGAGATATGAAAAGTGATCCATCAAATCATACGAAGACGAAGACAGAAAGCAGAAGGGATATGTCATGGGTTACAATTAAGCAAGGTATAGTGGTATTGGCGACACCTATAAAATTACACATAAAACGAGGTTTTCAAAGCATGCCGCTTCAATGTGAAATCTTGTTTTCTGAAGAATTCCATCAAAATGGCCTTTTGAAGGCATCTTTTCACAGGATACGGCTGTTGCTTTTGGGATTTCAGTGAAAATTTTTATTCGAAGATATTTCATTCGTATTGGAATACAACAGTTATTTAATATCTCTGTGTTGCAGTTGAATGTTGGATATTGTCAGTTGGTGTTACTCGTCGATAACAGATACGATGAAATAATTGCAGCAGTTCACGGCGAAATATTTGACTCGACAATGTGAACAGGTAGAATGCCATACATGGACCTATGAGAGCCATGGAAGAAGACACATTCAATAAATAATTGTATATGGCTAGCTTGACCGCAGTGTCCGTTGAACTGGTTGTCCGTGCAACGTAGAGACCGACGATTGAGTTGACAGTTGTTGTTAAGCCAAATACAAGAGCTTGAACAAACATCATTCGAATCAATTGCCTGTCTGATTTCTTTTGATTAGATTGCGAATTATTTGGATTATTTGTTGGTGCCAGTCGTTTTCTTCCTTGATGAACATGTTGCACAGTCAAGCCACCGAAAACAAGCATAGCGATGGTTGGAATCCAACTCCAAATAACCAAATTCCAGATGCTAAAGAAGGCTTGATAGGATGGTGGTTGAATGCCACATTTATTCTGGGGGCGTGTTAGTACGTTGTAGAATGGCATATGGATGTACATGATACCAATAAACACAACTGTAAGTGGAATAGTACGCGAACTGACACGAACACTACTCCATTCACGCAGCTTTGCAGATGATGAACTACACAAAAACCTACAAGAAGGAAATCATTTTATCAGGAATTTAAACGACAATTATTTATTGAAGGAGATATTTACACCTTACAGGAATATGAAAATTTTGAAATTCTAAAAGTGCTACGTTATTCTCAAGGATTAGAATTACTAGAATTTTAACTTCTATGATAGTTTTTGCCTCTACAAGTCTGCTCTCACAATTCATACTGCCTCTTGCATACTTCATTCTTACATTCAACAGTTTTTGAAATAACTGACATCTTCGAAATTCTAAAAATTATTGAGTCCTGCAAATATAAGACCAAATGACAATAGTTTCGTGGATTCATCAAAAATTGTGAGAGTTGTCAGACTTTTCGAAATTATCAAATTATCATCATAATTTCCGTTTCTGATCAATTTTGCTACACACATTATTACTTTTACTCTCCAGTTAAAATTCAATCATAAATAAAGAACGAACTTTCTCTGTTGAAAATTAGCAAAATATTCTTACTGTCTATTTCAAAAAGAATATGCCTCGAGACATATGCTGAATAACTAACTCTAGAATCGATACAGTAATTNTTTTTTCCTTTTTTTTTTTTTCTTTTTTTTTCACTATTGTGATATATATATATATATTGTTTTCCCTGGATAGTCATGGTTACATGGTGATATATGTGTATATAAGAGCATGATATAGGTTATATCGATGCACTTATTCTTCTTTTGAAATAAAGATTTAACATCAAGGACATTCTATATATTCTTATTGGAATTAGCCCCTAATATTGGTGCCGTGACCGACTGTTTTATTATTTATTAATAATAAAACACGAACCAACAAAAAAAAAAATTTTTTCATATGCCATCGAAATTTAAAAAAAAAAAAATTATACATATCGGTAAGTGATTACATTTTTTTTTATTCATTTAATTTAAAGGTAACTCCATTGGAAGCTGCCTGCAAAACCTCGATTGAATAAAAAAGATAGTCCCATTAGGAATTGTCTGAGAGGGAAAAAAAAAAAGAAGAGAATCACTCGATTATTATTATACATACAACGTTATCAATTAAATTCAACATTATATTATCATAACTTTATTATTGATATTAAAATAACGGCTTATAGTCTTCGAAGTGCCGGTAACGATCCAGAATTTACTGGTGATTTATTAACAAACACATCTGAACGTACAGTAAAAAGATTAACTCTCGACTCATTAAATAATACTACCGAACAAATTCCAACAATGTCTCACACTCCGCAAGATTCAGCGATGATGATATGCTATCGTGAATGCTTATTAAATTTGGACAAATTCCATGGTGGTGAAGACCAAAAAGTTTCACAATTTATTAATAATATTGAAAGAATTGGAAGAATGATTAATGCAAATGATGATATTTTACATTGTATGTGTACAGCAAAATTAGATGGTGAAGCGAAACGCTGGTATGAAGACAATATGACATTAGCCAAATGGGAAAATTTAAAACCAACATTATTGGAAAGATTTACAACATCGGATTCAGCATCGAAAATATTTGAACAATTGAAAGAACGAAAACAAAAATTAGATGAAACAATTACATCGTATTATGATGCTGTCATCAAATTATGTCGAGAATATGATTCATCCATGTCACAAAAAATGATGATATCGTGGTTACAAAATGGAATTAAAGATTCATTGAAGACTCAAATTAAACGACAAATGAAATTGTTACCTGAATCAGCACGAACAATTCAAGCATTCTTAAAAATTGCTAAAGATGAACAAGAATTACAAGAAGAAGATTCTTCTGAACTCCAAGCAACACAATCTTATTTACCATACATTACGAATACCGTATCAACAACAGCACAACAAACACGAAGCAACTCCGAAAGGATACCAACATCAACATATTTACCATCACGACATACAACATATAAACAATATGCTCCATCATCTAAATCTTTAGATTCATTAAAGCCACAACCGAAAAGTCACAGTTCAACTTCCCGACCATCATCTATTTTACATAAACGGGAATCACATTATTTATCAACTAATAATTCATCACGACGTCAAGACGCAAATGTTAAACCTTATTCATCTACACAACATGATTCTCAACGACGACCATGTGATGTATGCCAACGCATTAATCATCGAACAATTGATTGTTATTACAAGAAACCATATGGATGTTTTAAATGTGGACAGTCCGATCATCATATACGTGATTGTCCACAGGTTTTCTACTAGCTGGAACCCGTGATGGTGGTCACTCCAGTACTAAAGAAAATCCATCAACAATGAATTATACATCACCAACATCATCAACTCCTATTCATATAAAAGTGCAAGTAAATAATAAACAACATCAAGCCATTGTCGATACTGGATCTGCAGTCACCATTATTAATCAACAATTATTAAAAACAATTTATCATAAGGAATTTATTTACAAGAAGAAATTACACAAATCAGCTAATTGTTCATCGATTAATATTATTGGTGAAATTCAACTTGAAATTAAAATACAAGGATATAAAACGTTAATTTTAGCAGATGTTGCAACTAATCTTATTACTGATCTATTACTTGGAAATGATTGGATTACAGCAAACAATGTTATTATTGATTCACCACAACAATGCATTTATCTCACTGACCAAAAACGGCACATTTTAGCAACAGCAACATTCGTTAAACCTGCACACTTTCAATTACCAGTACTATTAACCGATGAAATTACTCTTCCACCGCACTCCGAAAAATACGTTAACATCAAAGTATTATCACCAACAATGAACATAACCGAAGCCTTATTTGAACCAGCAGCACATTTATATTCGAAACAAATCTTACTTACGAATGCATTAATTAAGTTAGAAGACAACAGAAGTCAAGTTATGATTTTGAATGCAAATGATCGTCAAAAGACTTTATCGAAAAATACATCATTAGGATATATTACATATCAATCCAAAGCCAATAACTATCTTATTTTACCAGTATTAACAAAAAATAAAACTGATCGATCAACACCTATAACATCGAATTTTTACAGAAGGAACAACTCTTTTGGGAGTCGTTCCTGGATCCCTTCAATGGATAATAAGAGGAAAGTTCAATCTACGAACTTTACCTGTCAAATGAACAACAATACTGATCCTGAACATCAATGTTATGTATGTCAAGAACAATTTTTATCACGGAATGATTTACAACAGCATTTACGTCGAAAATGTTATCCATTGGAAATGCGAGAACAAATTGACAAATTAACACAACATATTGAAGACACAAAACAACGGCAACAGGTACAACATATTTTATGGGAACATGGAAAATTATTTGATTTTCGTCAACCGTCCATCATAAAAGCAACAGTTCATCATGCCATTGAAACTGGACATCATCCACCGGTACATACTCCACCATATCGAGTATCATACAAGGATGAACAAATACAACGAGAAGAAATAAATAAATTATTAAAACAAGGTATAATTGAAGAATCTACATCACCATGGTCATCGCCTATAGTATTGGTAAGAAAAAAAGATGGTTCTGTTCGATTTTGTATTGACTTTAGGAAATTAAACAATATTACGACCAAAGATGCATTCCCTATGCCTCGAATTGATGATATTTTTGATCATTTATCACAAGCTGAATATTATACAACCATCGATTTCAAGTCAGGTTACTTTCAAGTTGGACTCGACCAGAAGGATCGTCCAAAAACAGCTTTCTCAACAAGGGATCAACACTATCAATTTACAGTATTACCTCAAGGTGTTACAAATGGTCCACCAGCATTTCAACGTATCGTTAGCCAAATACTTGGACCTACAAGATGGCAATATTCATTAGCTTATCTCGATGATGTTATAATATATTCACCAACATTTGATCAACACCTAATTCATCTCGATGACATTCTCAATCGATTAAATGATGCAAATTTTCGTCTTAATGTTAATAAATGTCAAATAGCAAAAACATCGATTGATTATCTTGGGCATCACATTGAACATAGTAATATTAGACCAAATGCAGACAATATTCGTGCATTATTGAAAACCCAACAGCCAACAACAGCAAAAGAAGCTTTTCGATTTATCAAAGCTGCTGAATATTATCGTAAATTTATACCTGGATTTTCTGCTATTGCACAACCTTTACATAAATATGCACCTACCACAAAAGAACAACGATCACAAAAGTCACAAGCTACACCCATTATTTTATCTGATGATGAACTTCATGCATTTAATGAATTAAAACGAATATTAACGAATGATTTAGTATTACGTATTCCCGATCAACATTTACCATTTAAGATACAAACCGATGCATCAAAAATTGGAATTGGAGCTGTACTTATGCAAACTCATCCAAACGGCGATCTCCCAGTAGCTTATTTGTCGAAGAAATTTACAACGACACAAATGAATTGGCCCGCCACAGAACAAGAGTGTTATGCTATAATATATGCAATTGAGAAATGGCACAAATATTTAGATGGACGCTCATTTACCATTGAAACAGATCATAAACCATTATTACCTTTTAATTTAAAACAACAATTAAATGCGAAATGTGAACGATGGCGTTTAAAATTACAACAATATCAATTTAGTATTCGATATATTAAAGGAAAACATAATACAGTAGCAGATTATTTATCACGTTCACCAGTCGATAACGGATCCAATGATGAAGACGATTATACTCCAACAAAATCCAGAGCAACACAAACCGATAATTCGAAGGAAACTTACATTGTAGCACCTGTTATGACTCGTAACCAAGCCAAACAACAACTTAATGGAAGGACTGACTGTCGTTCGACAGATCAGGCCTGTGATAAACAAAACCAAAAGAGGAATGTCGACATGCAAGTCGATCACTCCTGTGTTCCAAAACCTAATCAATTACATTCACCAGTCGCCACCAGTGACTCTAATAAAATATTACCAATTACATGGGAACAATTGAAAGAATTACAATACCAAGATGAAGAAATTAAGAACATCATTGACAATATAAAGGACCACCAAGAATACTTTATTAAAAATAATATGTTAATGAAGAAGTCCTACCCACCAGTCCCAGTTATACCTAAGGGACGAATACGTTCAGATATAATAAAAATTTATCATGATACACCGGCCAATGGTGCTCATTTTGGTCGGAATAAAACCATTCAAAAAATTCAACAGCGATATTTTTGGCCAAATATGATTTCTGATATTCGTAATTATGTGCAATCATGTCTACCTTGTTTAAAAAACAATCCCCTACGACAAAAACCACCAGGTGCTTTAAAACCTATCAAACCTCCCGAAGGAGTTTGGCAATTGCTTACAATGGATTTCCACGGGCCTATTACTCCAACAACAAAAAATGGAAATAAATATATTATTTCCTTAACGGATGTTTTATCAAAATTTGTTATTGCCAAAGCAGTACGTGATTGCACTGCAACAACAGCAGCACACTTTATTACTGAGGAAGTTATCCTCAAATATGGAACTCCAAAATGTATTCTTACGGACAACGGAACTCACTTTACTGCTACAATGATGTCAGAATTATTTAAGAAAATTGGTGTTACACATTTATATTCAACACCTTACCACCCAATGACTAATGGACAAATTGAAAGATTTAATGCAACCATGGATGCGAAAATAGCAACATTATCAAATGAAAAACGTACAAATTGGGATGAACAATTACCATTTGTTGCATTCAATTACAACATCAGTATCCATACAACAACGGGACAAATTCCATTTGAATTAATGTATGGTCGTTCGCCAATATTACCTTTTGATCAACAACAACCATCAGTTACACTTTCACAAGACCCAGACCACAAATTAAAATTAAATCAATATTTATCAACCTTAACCGAACAAGCAAAAATGAAAATCCTGGAGCAACAAAGAAAATACAAAGAACGTTATGATCGACATCGTGTCAATCCAAATTACCAGGTCAATAATCTGGTCCTGATTAAAATATTAAACATGCGCAACAAATTCGACGCACGGTATGAAGGACCATTCCGGATAACAAGAAAACTCAGCACAAAAACATTTATTGTTCAACATGTGAAGATACCGACATTAATAAAACAAGTGACCAGCGACATCATGGTGTCAATCATAGAACGTCGGAAACAGTAAATAAATTTAAAAAAAAAGGAAAACAAATGAGCAAAGAAAAGATGAAGAGGAATGGAAAATCCACATATTACAACACATATGTACATTTATTGGATTATTTACAAGGAAAAAAACAAAACAACAGCTTAAATTATTACCTATAACAAATATTAACAATGAACATCAATACGACTTTTTCTTAATTAAATAAATTATCCTATATGTCATTTATGAAATCTCATTATTATGATACCACAACTCAGCCGTAGAATGAAGTTAGTACATTGATCACATGTACTATCTGATTGTACAATGACTTAGCAGAACGAAAGATCTTAATGATATACATATATACATATTATCTACACGAATGAATCAATTATTATCATAAAAAGGAGAAACACGTTATGTTTTTCCTGGTTATTAGCTATAATGATGAATCAAATCGAAAGAGGACTCTTCGATGGAGTCCTGAATATATATAATATTGTTTTTTCCCTATTTCAGATGTCTACTTCTCATAAAAATCGTTATCATTCATCTACATATCATTATCAAGAAAAATCTTCATCAACTGTTAAATCACAATCAAATACAACACATCATTATCGTCCTCAACATCATTACATACCTCCATTAGAAAAACTTGATAAACTTACACAAAGATATTGTCCAGCAAAATTTAAAAAAAATAATGAACTTAAGGATTTATACAATAATGGGAAATGCAGCAAATTTGAATTACCTCCATCGTTATTCCAAAAATTTTACATCAACCGTCAAACATCAATTACTATTTTAAATGATTTAATTGATTATGCTTTTCATATTAAAAATTATACGATTGATACGGAAGACCAACTAAATAAACCACCTAAACCATCTGATCCTACACTCATTCAAATTCAATTTATTCACGAAAATGATCCATCAATTATTTTATTAATCGAAGCATTTTATTTACCTCCAGAAAATTCATTTACATTTAACAAAATTAAACAATTATGCAAAATTATATTTTCACCAGATCATATCGTTAATTGCTGGGGTGATCCAAAAAACGAATTAGCAAAATTTTTACGATTTAAATTATTTGATAATAATGATATTGATTTTATAACACCAAGAAATACTCAGGACATATTCAAAGATTGGTTTAATCGTACTTATCCACAATCAATTCATATTAAAGATGGTGCTAATGATCAATATTCATTACAATCAGCAATGTATATAACATTTAATGAATGGCTCGACAAGAGAATGACCCTTGCAAATTGGGGCTGTGGTATTGATTTAATATTACAAACTTATCTAACAATGAATGATTATGATGACATTAAAGATAAAAAAATTTATGATGAAAAACAAATACGTCAATTAATGGAAACTTATGCAATCAACGATTGTTTTTCAGTTACAAAGCTAAGTCAAATAATGAAACATTTTGAACCATCTAAACCACCATTAGAAGATAATAATATTTATATTTCAGATTATGAACCAATAGAAGAAGAAATACAACCAGATGAATTATTAAATGATAATGATACAGTTGAATCAGTTCATGTTTTAGATGAACGGACAACTCTCAATGATATAATGGAATTAGATGAACCGGATTCGAACGTCGTACTATCGGTTCATGGACAAACAAATATATTAGATGGTCTTGAAGCTATTTCAGAAGAAGAAGAACAGCAACAACCAATACAAAATTCAATATTAATAAATAAGCAAATAGAAACAACATTGGAAAAGAAGAAATTAACTAAAACACAACGCAACAACATAAGAAAACGAGCAGCTCGATACAATTTTGAAGTAGTTCGTCAAATTTATTCCAACTTCACCATTTCAAATATAAAAGAAATACTGATTGACATGAATATACATTGGTTAAATGTTAACGTGGTCAAAGCAATATTATTTATTGGTGTGAAGAATGAAGAAACACGGAAACACGTGGACAATCTGCTACACGACGAAATGTTTACAAAAGCACATTATCAAAGATTCAATAAAAAACGTTCTCGTTCAAAGAAAAATTAAGTATATAATTTTTTTTCCTGCTTATTGTTACACGTGCTATTGTCATTACTATCATTTCCATTATTATGATTATTGATATTTTCTATTATTATCATTATCACTACCTTCTAGTCTACTTTTATTGTTATAGTCACTGATTTTTTTTTTTTTCTCTTCTTTATTTGAACTCTTTTCTGCTTCTATTACTATTTTGTTTTTCTGTTTTTTTTTTATTTTAAAAAAGAAAAAAAGGTTCTCTATTGTTATAAGATCTCGTTTTTTTTTCTCTCTTCTTTTGTTATATTGTTATATATTATTGTTAATCGTGTGTGGACACACATTTTCATTTTTGGGGGGTCGACTGTTACGGGCTACCTCACAGATATCATATTTTGTTTGCACTCTATTGTTATTTTCTTTTCCTTTTTCTTTTTCTCTTTTCTTTTCACTATTGTGATATATATATATATATTGTTTTCCCTGGATAGTCATGGTTACATGGTGATATATGTGTATATAAGAGCATGATATAGGTTATATCGAGGCACTTATTCTTCTTTTGAAATAAAGATTTAACATCAAGGACATTCTATATATTCTTATTGGAATTAGCCCCTAATAGTACGTATCGATGAGTTTGGTTCCGCCAAAAAAACTATTGAAAATGTATTACTTCTTATGCACTTAACCGAAATCTTGATAAAAATACAACTAAAACATAGAAGAAATCCTTGTATTCTTTATTATTTAAGACGCACCAAATGAGAAAAATATTGTTCAGAAAATAGTAAATGATTGATTAGTCTAGTTTTGTACTAGGTAGCAAACTCCGAATAGAATATAGAGTGTGCTATGTTATAATCGTTTCTTTGATATTGTTCTCATTTTCGATATACATCATAACGCGTTATGAACGCAAGACGTTCATTACGTCGCTTACTATATGACTTTTCTTTCCTTTTGTCGCTTTCCCTTACGACTCTATTCGTTTACATTACAACTCTTCTTTATCTGTTCTGTTACGACTTACGACGATATGACAATGAACATATAACGCTTATTACGTCTTATGGCTCATCACTACTTATGCCTGTTATGGCGAAGTAATGTAGTAATAGGAAAGAGCTATATGTTCGTAGGTCTCTGTCGTCATTATTATATGTCATACCTACGTTCATGTTCTACCACTATAGCGTGATCTGCTTTACGTGTACCCATATCAGATTTATAGGGATCTTCCTGATTGCTTGCGCGCGTAAGCGAAAGTGAGCCGAGAAAAGTCGGCAACGAAGTGAATAGCAATGCAAATCAATTTATTGAGCAAGCCAAAAGAAAAAACAAATTTATATTCTCTTTTTTACATACTCAATATTTTCAATCAATGTTTGTATATGAGGATGCGTTGGTGGAAGTGATTTTTGGAAGATTGCAAGGGACTTTTCTCCGAATTCAAGTGCTTTCGAGTAGTCACCCATGCTGAAATACACTCCACCAATATTGCTGTAGGAAGTAGCCAAATCTGGATGATCCGGAGGCAGAGTTATTTTTGTGATTTCGAGATCTTTCTGGCAAAATGCAAGTGCTTTCAAATGGTCACCCATGTTGTTATACAATTGACCGATGTTGCTGTAGGAAGAAGCCAATAAGGGATGGTTCAAAGGCAGAACTTTTTCTCTTATTTTAAGTGCGCTTTCGTAAAATTCAAGTGCTTTCGAGTAGTCTCCCAAGTCGTTATACACTTGACCGATGTTGCTGTAGGAAGAAGCCAATGAGGGATGATTCGGAGGCAGGGCCTTTTCTTTAATTTTTAGTGATTTTTCGTAAAATTCAAGTGCTTTCGAGTTGTCACCCATGTTGTTATACACTTTACCGGTGTAGTTGTAGGAAGCAGCTAAATCAGGATGATTAGGAGGCAGAGCCGTTTCATAGATTTTATGTGATTTTTCGTAAAATTCAAGCGCTTTCGAGTAGTCACCCATGTGGTTATACACTTGACCGATACTGTTGCAGGAAGACGCCAAATTGGGATGATTTGATGGCAGAGCTTCTTCCAATATTTTATGTGATTTTTCGTAAAATTCATGTGCTTTAGAGTATTCGCCTATGTTGGTATACACTTGACCGATGCTGTTGTAGGAAGCAGCCAAATCAGGATGCTTTGAAGGCAGAGCTTTCTCTCTTATTTTAAGAGCGTTTTCGTAAAATTCAAGTGCTTTTGAGTAGTCACCCATGCCGTTATACACATGACCGATGTTGCTGTAGGAAGTAGCTAATGAGGGATGATTTGGAGGCAGAGCTTTTTCGTAGATTTGGTGTGATTTTTCATAAAATTCGAGTGCTTTCGAGTAGTCACCCATGCTTCTATACACATGACCGATGTTGCTGTAGGAAGTAGCTAAGGAGGGATGATTCGGAGGCAGAGCTTTTTCCAAGATTTTGTGTGATTTTTCGTAAAATTGGAGCGCTTTCGAGTAGTCACCCATGTTATCATATGCGAGACCCATGTTGCAGTAGGTAGAAGCCAATGAAGGATGATCGTCCGAGAGAGTTTTTCGCTTGATCTCGAGTAATTTTTCGTAAAACGTAATCTCCTGTTCATATTTGCCCTGTTGCAATTTTACTCTACCCAACTCATGATAGATATATGCTTTTTCATTGTCATTGGATGCCTGTTGTAGTAGTGTCATATACAATTCTTCGGCCCTATTGAATTGACCTATTTTCAACAGCAATGTACCCATTCGATACCAACCGACGTGGTCGACCTCTTCTCGTATATAGTTGGTTAATCGACGGAGTTGTGGGTCGTCATCCGACGTAAGTTTAAGATCCACCTGATAAAGTGGATGATTACAGTCAAGTTTTTGAATGTCACCAATTCGAAAAACTGTGTGCATAGAGAACAGAATTTCCTCTTCTTGGGCAAAGCCACTCAGCTCTTGGATAGAGGCAAAGGGAGTGGCTGAGACAGTGGGATCGATGGTCATTTGGAAAAGGATACCGACCTTATCAGTTGCTCGTAAAGCACTCTCGGCGAAGCAAAGCGAGACATCTCGATTTGTACTAGTGGATAAAAAGTTATTGAATGATATAAGTCCGCCTTTTTTTTTAGCAAGTTTTTCGAAGTCTGCTTTCGGGAATCCCTGCCCTCGAAAGACTAGAAAGGCCTGCGCATGATTTTGACTGATTTGTTTGCTATATAATTGTTCGATTTGTCGGTGTACGTCACACAGATAAAACCCCATTTTGATAAGGATGTCGCCATCTAATGTTCGTAATGCTAGATTGAGCATTTCGTACGTGAAAGATTGACGTGTATACCACCAGATGGCCTTAGATGGATGGTAGGTGCGTTGAAATTCATCAATAATTTTGGTTGCTAGGGCATTGCCCTGGTATTCTTGTTGCCAAAAAGTGACCAAGTTTTTGATGGCTTCTTGACTATATTCCATATCAAGGAGGATTTCCTTGAGTATTTGAGTATACATGAAAGATGGTTCTAGCTGATCGAGATTTTTGGTAGAACCTCCTTCATGCACATCGATAATACTGACCGACATATTATCTTGGTTACATCGTTTGATAACCAGTTGCAATGCTTCGCATATTGGTTTGATGGATGTATAGACACCTTTGATTTTCGTCCAATTTGTTGTCCATACTTCATGCTGTTGTCTGTTGTCACAAAATATGTAAATGACATTTAATTTTGGTACGCCATGAATGCTTGGCACTAGATGTTGTGCAAGCGCACCTGAGGAGATAACAAACGATATCTCCTCAGAATTTTCTTTCAGCTGTTGAATACATTCTTCAGCTGTTATACATGGATTGACTTGATTTGCAACACCGTGCAATTGAGCAAGTGTATTTTGGCAATCTTCATTGGCCATGTCGATATTTTCATCGACCCATATAACCAAATAATTTTCAGTCATGCATCGTCTTCGTTGTCGACTCATTTTCGATATAATATTGGTTGTGTGATCGGTAATCGTGTATTGTGAATAATAAATTGCTGCTATGGCAAACTTTACCTTTTGTATTTATACATTATGTGCACTTTGTTTTTTCTAGATTTTTCTCTGACGTCGAATGTGTGTATTTTTGTTCGTTGATACTCGATAACAAACTATACCTAGTATAAATTCAAGGTATGCTTGTTACAAACAAATTAAAGGAAACAAATTAGCAACGTCATTGATCGTATGATAATTGTCTCCCAGTTTCATTTACGTTTCATTGCATTAGACATCTTGGCTTATACGTTGTATATTTTTGTTTCATTCTTAAAAAACAACTTTTTTTTCTTTCTAACTACAACGAAAGCGACAACAAGGGCAATGTCACTTTGCTTTTTTCTCTCAACGTACATATGATTCACATGCTGATAATTTGAACGAAACAAGAAAAAATATAACTTCAATTTTAATTGAGGCAACGGTTTGGTGAAAAAAACACAGAAAAGAAAAAAGCGAAAAGGAAAAGAACGAAAAGAAAAAGAACAAAATAGAAAATGTCGAAAGAAGAATACCAAGAGAATAAAAAATCATTAACATGAACATCTTGACCAATCATTAAGAAATTTATTCAATAGAAAAATGCAAGAAAAGAATCATCCATAATATAATTGAAATGATAAATAAACTAACGAAATATCCGAGCTACAGACGAAAGGGATGAATCATTTTTTCCATGGAGAATTTTTCAAGACTACATAGGACAAATTTCTTTAAGAGTTCATCGAACAGTAATTTTGTTATTTTGAAAACGTCAACATAGTGTATCAATACGCTGTTATATTGCGTTTTTTTTTGTAGCCATTTTTGATCTAGCTTCAAGATCACATAGTATTTGAATCAGGATATGATTAAACCTGTTTCTTTCTCCTTGTACACATCGGATAGAAGTCCATATATTTGGATGATGTTGTGCAATATGTAAATTCAGACGATTATGAAATCCTAAAAATATACATAAATCATGATAGTCTTAAAATATTAACCAATGCTGTACGCCTGCAACGTTGATTGTTCTAATCCGAATTTCATAAACATTGCATTTACTAAGATCGACCTGTTTAATCCATTGGTTTTCAAAATAATCAAGTATAGGTCTCAATGAATCCAGTTCTGTTGAACATGCTAAAAGTACGCTTTCATAAAGATCCTCAAAGCTTTAAAATACAAGTGAGGATGGAAGTAATTCAAGAGCCATAAGCTTCCTATACACGATACACATACTTTTATCGTTAATATTAGCACCTGATTAACCAAGACGCTGTATATGACGATTCAGTTCTTAACTTCCATAAGCTCATATAATTTAGTTTGTTGATAATGAGCTCTAATTTAGAAATAAACCGAGGAAGCAGTGATGTAGAGATATCAATGGAAAAGAAGTTCGCAATAATTAAATGTAACACATTTCACTCTTTGTACATATAGGGATAGATATAGATCTTGTAATTAGATACGTGAACATCGGTACCAGTATGAACCAAGAAGATGAAGAATTTTTACAAGATTGCAACATGGCAACCGCTTGCCCTCATTATGGGTGGGTGTGGGTATCACTCTCATCTTTATCACCCAGACCGATACCCACACCCCACACTCTATACGGGAGAGGACATAAATATAAGAGTAAGGGTATACAAAATAAGGCTTTACGGATAAAGGTATAGATATAAGACTAGAGATGCACGGATCCGGTGAGAAGGTTACAGCTATACCTGTACCCTTATGAGGGGATGAGTGTGGCAGGAGGGCGTAGACTTGAGGGGATGGGGTGTGGCTGGGTTCGAGCATTGGTTTTTGTGGATGTGGACGTGACTAGGTTTGGATGTTCCTGTGGATGTAGTTGTGAGTATGCAGAGAACCCTCACGCATGCCAGCAACTACAACTATACCTTAGTACCCACACCAATTCAAACTGTTAAAACTAGTTTATGTGCCCCAAAAATCGCGTTTAAACGGTTGCAGATATTTAAATTTAAACTGTTTAAACATTTGAAACTCATGATGTGTAAACACCGTTTTCCCCGTTTCCTTGTCTGCCCGAAAAAAGACACTTGAATTCGTTTGAACGACTAGGTTCAAGATATTTGTCGCCATTTTTTGACGGATATCCATTTTACTAATAAACAGGCTATCGACTTATGCATTTTCATTTTTGCCCATACAATGCCTGCATGTTTGATTTGTCTATGAAAGTAGGGAAGGCTAGTTGATGCCATTTGTCGATAGCAGAGTAAGGTATATATGTGCTTCACTGTAAGCCATTTCAATACGGTGGGGAGTGGAAAGCGTGTGTGTGAAGATTTCGACTTCGGCTGTCGGTGTCTGTTAAGAGGAAAAGCTGTCAGCGCAATCTCTTGCGGGATTAAAAATGTGAAACACGATATAACTGTTGTTGCTAGTCACACGAATATGGCTTTCTTCAATATACCGTGGGACCCCTTTTTTCATCATTTCTTACTTAATTGTCTAGAACTACCACAAGGAAGCAGTTGACATATTCTTATGAGATTCTAGTGATATATAATCGTAAATCATGTATCAAAAGGTCTACCACGATCTGTGATGGATATAGGGTTTCTGTGTCACGGTTTGTGATAGGCATGGATTTTCTCTGTCACGGTCTGGGGGGTGGGGGTGCAAATTGCTACTCTATATACTTCAACATTCCTTTCATATCGTGTTTCACAAAAGTCACATTAATACTCTTACATCCACATCCGATACCCACATTTACATTAGCCCACACCATGATATTCTAGTTTAAAAATCGAATTAATTGAACTCGATTAAAATTAGAATTACTTCCGAGTAAAGATTATTGAAACATATTGCTTATTGTCAATTAAACAAATTAATAGAGAAAAATATCTAATATGTTTCAGAAAAAATTCTATTATGCGCAAAATCAGTTATAGTTGATCTGTTTAAAGATATATCTATTATTAGCCCTTTTTTGTCATATAGAAGATTTTCAGCATAATGCTTAATTGTCTCAGAAATTTACATAATTAAGTGTGTCCTAAATTGTTTGAAAGTTTATCTGTAGCAATAATAATCAAGTTGATTAAATTGAAGATATTTCAAGAAATTTGTCGAGTTTTTCAACTCATAAATGTATATATATATTGATTAACTGAAAGAGAAAAAAATGATTACTCATAAGTACGATGCAAACTTTCATGTTAAAGAGTAGGCCACCGCTAAAAATGAAAGAAGAAGAGAAAAGATTATATGCATAGTCATCGTGCTTCAACAAATGTTTTTATTCTCCTTATAAAAATTGAATCGAAAGAAATGAAAATGATGTCAACAATGTTTTTTTTGACACTTTTTATTATTGGGTATGACAAATAATTTATCATTTATTAAACTAATCCTTTTCTTTTGATTAGTTTTAGTTTATTCAGTAAGTGAACCTGTTTTTATTTATTTACTATTAACAACATTTTATCTTTAATATAAGATCGAATTGATTGTGAAGAAAGATGTGATAATAGTCTATCATATGAAACATGTTCATCAAATAGCGGATGTGGTTGTCTTTCTCTCAGTCATAATAATATAAGTTCTATTTGTGCATTTTTATATGTCACTTGTTCTAAATTATCATCATGCGCTGCTGATAACAAAACATGTTATCAACCAAACTATACTTGTGTAAAACATTCTCGATGTCAACCTAGTCCATTATGTTATCCAATGCACATGGCAACTCAATCAATATGTCCAACAACATTAACAACAAGTATTTATATTAAATTAAAAATCCGATTCTTTTTTTTTTTAATTTTATAGCCATATCTCCAATACCTAATGACGGTATTTGTGAAAATGCAAAATGGAATACTGATGGTATAACAATGGCGGGAGGAAATGGAGCCGGGTCTCAATTAAATCAACTTCATTTTCCGTCTGGAATATTCTTAGATGATGATTCAAATCTCTATGTTGCAGATGGATTTAACCACCGAGTTGTTAAATGGGATTATGGATCTTCAGCTGGTCAATTACTAGCTGGTGGAAACGACATGGGAAATCGAAGTGATCAGTTTCGTTATCCTAGTAGTGTAACTGTTGATAAAAATGGAACACTGTTTATTTGTGATGACGGTAATGGTAGAATCCAAAAATGGAAGAAAAATGCTCGCGAAGGAGAAACAGTTGTATCAAATGCATCATGTTACGAAATTCATATTGATAATCGAGGTTCATTATACTATTCTCAAGCTACTCACCATAAAATAATAAAATGGCCAGAAAATGAAATTATTGCAGGTGGAGATGAAGAAGGAATTGAGTTAAATCAATTGTCAAATCCATATGATTTCTTTATTAAAAACGGCAAATCAATATTGATAGCAGATGGAGGAAATCATCGAATTTTAGAATGGATTATTGGTAATAAACAAGGTTTTGTTAGAGCTGGTGGAAATGGTGCAGGAAATAATCTTAATCAATTGTATCAACCAATGTCAGTTATTGTTGATCAATCGGATACTCTTTATATTGCTGATTATGATAATAATAGAATTATGCGATGGTTGAAAAATAGTAAATCAGGTATTGTTATTGTTGGAGAACGAGGAAAAGGTCAAGAAAAAGACCAATTAGACAATCCATCTCAAATATTATTTGATAAAAATGGAAATTTATGGGTCAATGATGACATGAACCATAGAATTCAAATGTTTAAGATTGATAAAAGTTCTTGTAAAACATAATATCATCTATTGAATACTAATATTTCTTTTGATTTAATATCATCCGCTAATGAAGATCGATTAAAAATAAATATTATCTCATTGATTTTAATTGATAGAACATTTACATGAAAAATTTTAAATTGTTATCTGTTTGAAACCACGTAAGGAAATATTCTTTGTCTCTTTATTGAATTAATTTTATATGTAGGTAAGAGACATATATTTGGACAATTTTAAGGAAAAACGCTAAGCAGCTCATTTATTCGCATACAAAATCTTTATCGAATAAATTATTGACTTCATCATTGTTCTCTCAGAGGATATCAACGTGCGGGTCAGTATACTCTTCTCCGAACTTTGGTTATTTGAGTCTAGATGATGTGACTATCGGCAATGTCTATTTTCGGCGATCTTCATTTCAATAACTGAAGCTATTGGCGAAATTCTAAGATCATTCCTGCAGTATAGATACATGAATATAGATGATAAATATTGAGAAAGAGTCCACATAAAGAATGATCGCTGAAACAAAACTCGCGAACATAGATGATCGAAAGACGTTCGACGATTTCATTTGCAGCGAGGAACTACATAGCTGGTCTAGGTACGACTATTGTCTTCACTCTAAGCCACATCCTTGTGTTGTATTACTTTACGCTTGAGTGGGTATTAATAAACCAAGAAATAAAATAATACACAATCCAGTTACTTCTAGTGGCTTAACATGAATAACATGTCTCTCACATAACTCTCTTTCTCTATTACTTGATCTGATACTTGACCGATGTTGTTTACAAATTTTACCATACAGTCAAACGGTTTAACGTTGCTTCATCATCTATGATAGTGTATTCTTCTTGCTGGAAATGATCCTAATTTATATGGATTTGGCCTATATTGTATTGAAAAGAAGACTGCTTTACGGCTCTTTACTAGTAAGATATCTTTATTTTAAATTATTTTAATAACTACTAATACGTTGAATAGATGACAACGAAAAATGATTTAAATTTATAAATTATTGACAAAGTTATATAAGTTGTTACATACTGGGTGACTGATAATGAATGGCAGCACTTTGCATTTCATATTTTAATCACTAAATAGGTTTTATTTAAAAAGAAACAAAATATACCATAAGATGCAGCGTGAAAAGCTCTACAATCTACACAGAAAAGCTTATTTTATTTGCTCGCCTTTTGTCTTCAAAATAAGCAAAAATCTATGACACCAATTTTCAAGGCTTCGAGCGTTATCTTTTTCTTATTTCATCTTTTCATTATCTAATATATTTTATCAAAAAAACACAAAATATAATACAAGATGAAGCGTAAATAGGTCTACAAATTGCAAAGAAAAGTTCTTTTTATAAATGCGCCTCTTGTTTTCAAAATGGACAAAATTCTGTGCGACCAGTTTTCGACGCTACGAAGAAGATTGTTTTTGGTACACGACAAATCTCTGTTTTCATTTGTTTCACTAAAGAGTAATATCGATGGTCATAATTAATGGCCGATTTTAGTTCAATGGACGTGTTTCGATTATAACTCTCCACTGATTCTGATATCAGTGGTGAAGGTACGCGCGAGTTACTTGATAACAAATCACGATTGTATAACTGAATTCAATTAATAAAAGAAAATGAAGTCGAAAGACCTTCGAAAAGTCGTTATGCGAATGAGTGATAATGGCATGTCATCAGTACAAATTGCTAAGCAACTACGAAATGTCGTCAGTCAACATACTATTGGACGATGGCAAAATTTATATAAAGAAAAAGGTGAAATTGATCTAAAAAAATCAACTGGTAGATCGAGAATTGTGTGAACACAATATCTTATACAAAAGATGAAACAGTGATTGGTCGCCTGCAACGGTCGATGCAGTGCAAGGCAATTAGCTAAGTCATTTGGTGTTTCCCAGAGAAACTATACGTCTGATAATTAGAAAAGATCTTAATTTACGTCTTTATCGTATTACAACTCGACCAAAGTTAAGTAATGATAATAAAAAACAATGAGTATCATTTGCTTATTGGGTACAAAAATTTTTAAGGAAAGAAGATCATGCTAGAATTTTATTTACTAATGGAAAATATGTTTTACCTGAAGGGGTATTTAATCGACAAAATGAACGTATTTATGCTACAAGTGCCCTGGAGGCAGACGAACAAGGGGGCATGAATACAACATCTAAATATCCGAAGAGGCTAATGGCATGGTTGGGTGCTTCAAAAAATGAGCTTACGTCTCCAATTNCCTAGATTTCGATTTGGTTATTCCATCTATACGTGTGTGTGTATGTGCATGTGAAGAAAGAGGAACGTATTCCGTATATAAATAAACGAACTCAAAGTTAAGGACAAAAATTCTTTTTTTTTATTATTCTAAACTCTCCCTAACATTTGGTGCCGTGACCGGTTGTTTTTATTATATTTCATATAATAAAAACCTTTCCAGGTAAATAAAATTTTTTTTATTATTATCATTTTCAAATTTATTATAATTATCGAAATTTCTGTTCGTCAGATCTATATCGACTGACGAAGAAATACATTCATATCATTCGGAGGTCATTTCATTACGAAATAACCTGATTTTCTAGGATTATAGAATCATCTATAACGGAGGGAATTCTTTTCGGAATTACCTGATCCATACAAGGAATTCATGTATTAATTAAAACGAATCATTATACTATAAACAACGGCTTATAATTTACGAAGTAATTCAACATATCCGGAATTAACCGGCGATTTATTAACCGCTACTTCTGAACGTATCGTTAAAAAAGTAACTTTAGATTTATTAACCGATAATACCGATCAAGATAATATTACAATGTCGAATCCAATGCAAGATTCAGCTATGATGATTTGTTATCGTGAATGTTTAACAAACTTAGGAAAATTTCCAGGAGATGATAATACAACAATTCTACAATTTATTACTAACATCGAACGTATTGGAAAAATGATCGAAGCAAATGACGATATTTTATATTGTATGTGTACAGCAAAATTAGATGGTGAAGCTAAACGTTGGTATGAAAACAACATGTCATTAACTCAGTGGCAAGAGTTAAAATTAGCATTATTAGAGCGATTTACGTCTTCAGTCTCATCGTCAAAATTATTTGAACAATTGAAAGACCAAAAACAAAGACCCGATGAAACAGTTACATCATATTATGATGCTATTATTAAATTATGTCACGAATACGATCCATCTATGTCACAAAAAATGAAAATATCATGGTTAGAAAACGGAATCAATGATTCATTAAAAATACAAATTAAACGACAAATGAAATTATTATCCGAATCCCAACGAACAACACAAGCATTCCTGAAAATTGCGAAGGACGAGCAAGAACTGCAGGAAGAAAACGTAACAGCATCTGAACCTACATCATCACACACACCTTATTTTTCAAATGCTGTGTCAACAACATTACATCAGACAAATAATACGCATTCCAACGTCCCTACACATCCAGTCACAATCAATTCACAATCACCAACACCTCCTAATCGTACATCACGTCCTCAACGGCAAAATATTACACCACATCATCAATCAAATACCAACACATACAAATCATCTCCATGTTATATTTGCAAACGGAATAACCATCGTACAATCGATTGCTATTATAGAAAACCTTCTGGTTGTTATAAATGTGGTCAACACGATCATCGAATTCGTGATTGCCCGCAGGTTTTCTGCTAACTGGAACCCGTGATGGTGGTGATTCCAGTATTACAAAACAAATTCCATCACCCATTTATATAAATGTACAAGTTAATAATAAACGTCAACATGCTATTATCGACACCGGATCAGCAGTTACCATCATCAGTAAACAATTATTATCCAAAATTGATCATAGGAAATTTAAATATAAACGCAAATTACATAAATCAGCAAATTGTACATCGATTAATATTATCGGTGAAATTGAACTCGAAGTTCAAATACAAGGTTACAAATCGTTAATATTAGCCGATGTTGCCACAAATCTTATAACCGATCTATTACTTGGGAATGATTGGATAGCCGCAAATAATGTCGTCATCGATTCACCACAACAACATATATTTATTATGAATAATCAATGTCGATTGATAGCAACTGCACCATTCCTCAATATAACATCACTTCAACAACCTGTTTTATTAATTAACGAAATCGTTTTACCACCATATTCGGAACAAATCATCGACGTACAAGTTTCTTTACATACAAAAAACGTACCCGAAGTATTATTCGAACCGGCTTCAAGTTTATATTCAAAACACATATTATTAACTAATGCATTAGTCAAAGTGGAAAATAATCGAAGTAAACTTCTAATTATGAATGTAACTAATCGTGAACGAATGTTACAACGCAATACCAAGTTAGGACATGCTTCATCTCCATCCGAAATCAATAATTATTTTACTTTACCTGTATTTAAAGACAAACAACATTATCAAAAAAAGCAATTAACAACAATCACTGATAGGAGGAATAGTACCTTCACGGGTCATTCCTGCGCTACAGCTTTTCAACATCGTAGGAAAACTCATTTTATGAGTTTAACCTGTCATACCAACAACTATAATGAACAACCATTTCCATGTTATGTATGTGAAGAAAAATTCTTATCACATAATGACCTTCAACATCATTTACGTCAGCAATGTTATCCGGAATATATGCGTCAACAAATTGATTTATTAACTCAACATATTCAAGATCCAAAACAACGGCAACGTCTGCAAAACATTTTATGGAAACATGGCAAGTTATTTGATCTTCGTCAGCCATCTATTATTAAAGCAACTGTACGTCATGCTATCGATACAAGTACTCATCCACCAATTTATACTCCACCATATCGTGTTTCATACAAGGATGAACAGCTACAACGAGAAGAAATAGATAAATTATTAAAACAAGGAATAATTGAAGAATCTGTATCCCCATGGTCATCTCCAATCGTCCTGGTCAAGAAAAAAGATGGATCAGTTAGATTTTGCATTGACTTTCGCAAATTAAACAATATTACTACAAAAGATGCATTTCCTATGCCTCGAATTGATGATATATTTGACCATTTATCACAAGCCGAATATTACACCACAATTGATTTTAAATCCGGTTATTTTCAAGTCGGTCTTGATCCGAAAGACCGTCCGAAAACAGCATTTTCAACACGTGATCAACATTATCAATTTACAGTGTTACCTCAAGGTGTTACGAATGGTCCTCCAGCATTTCAACGGATCGTTAGTCAAATACTCGGATCGACAAGATGGCAATATTCCTTAGCTTATCTCGATGATGTTATTATTTATTCACCAACATTTGACCAACATTTAATTCACCTTGATGATATTCTCACTCGATTAAATGATGCAAATTTTCGTCTTAATGTTAATAAATGTCAAATAGCCCGTACGTCCATTGATTATCTTGGTCATAATATCGAACATAGAAACATTAGACCAAATGCAGACAACATTCGTGCATTAGAAAAAACTTCACAACCTACAACAGCTAAAGAAGCTTTTCGATTTGTTAAAGCAGCCGAATATTATCGTAAATTTATACAAAATTTTTCAACAATCGCACAACCGTTACATAAATACGCCCCAACAACGAAAGATCAACGATTAAAAAAATCACAGGCAACACCTATTACATTATCCGACGATGAACTTAATGCATTTAATACATTAAAACGAATATTAACTTATGACTTAGTATTACGAATTCCTAATCCAAATTTACCATTTAAGATTCACACTGATGCATCAAGAATTGGCATTGGTGCTGTACTTATGCAAACTCATAGTAATGGTGATTTACCCGTAGCTTATTTATCAAAAAAATTCACTGCAACACAAATGAATTGGCCAGCAACAGAACAAGAATGTTATGCGATTATATATGCCATCGAGAAGTGGCATAAATATTTAGACGGACGTCCATTTGTTATTGAAACCGACCATAAACCATTATTACCATTTAATTTGAAACAACAATTAAATGCAAAATGTGAACGATGGCGTCTGAAATTACAACAATACCAATTTACTATTCGATATATTAAAGGAAAACATAACACGGTAGCCGATTATTTATCCCGTTCACCCGTCGAAAATGAATCTATCGATGAAGATGATCACATTATAACAAATTCAAAAGCAACGCAAACTGACCATCCGACTAATAACCAAATTATTGCTCCTGTTATCACCAGAGCACAAGCAAAACGACAAGTAAATAGTAGGCCTGATTGTCCTCCGACAACTCAAGCCTGTGACTCACAACAACGAAGGAATATCGATTTACCAGTCGAACATTCCTGTAGTGTACCACCTGAACAATTACCCAGAACGACTAACAACGATGATGTTAATAAAATTTTACCGTTTACATTGGAACACCTTAAAGAATTACAATACCAAGATGTAGAACTTAAAAATATAATCGACAATATACATCGTTATCCAGAATATGTTATGGAAAATGACATATTAATGAAGAATGCTTCAACACCAGTACCAGTAGTGCCAAAAGGAAGAATTCGTTCTGATATTATTAAAATTTATCATGATACACCAGCAAATGGTGCACACTTTGGTCGTACACGAACTGTTCAAAAAATTCAACAACGTTACTTTTGGCCTAATATGACCTCAGGCATAAAAAATCATATTAAATCATGCATTCCTTGCTTACAAAACAATCATTTACGACGAAAACCGCCAGGTGCTTTACAACCAATTAAACCACCTGAAGGTATTTGGCAATTACTAACGATGGACTTTCACGGACCAATTACACCAACGACGAAACAAGGCAATCGATATATTATTTCACTCACTGACGTTATGTCAAAATTCGTTATTGCAAAAGCAGTACGTGACGCCACTGCTACAACAGCTGCACATTTTCTTACTGAAGAAGTTATTCTCAAATATGGAACTCCAAAATGTATTCTCACAGATAATGGAACACATTTTACCGCCGAAATGATGAATCAATTATTTAAGAAACTTGGCATTGTACATTTATATTCTACACCTTACCATCCGATGACTAATGGACAAGTAGAACGTTATAATGCAACGATGGATTCTAAAATAGCAGCATTATCAAATGAGAAAAGAACCGATTGGGACCAACAACTGCCCTTCGTCACTTTCAATTATAATACTACTATTCACACAACAAGCGGCTTTATTCCATTTGAAATGATGTATGGTCGTTTACCAATACTGCCTTTTGATCAACAAGATCCTATAGTTAAATTAACTCAAGATGCTGATTACATTAAAAAATTAAAAAATTATTTAAACACATTAACGGAAGACGCAAGGAAGAATATTTTACAACAACAACAAGAATATAAACAACGATATGATCGTAATCGAATAAATCCACAGTACAAAATGAACGATTTAGTATTAATTAAATCACTTAATCGACATAATAAATTTGATGTTAGATATGAAGGACCTTTTCGCATTACACAACAACTTGGTAAGAAAACATTCATCGTTGTGCATGTGAACAAGCCTACATTAACACGACAAGTTACTATAGATGTCATTATACCCTTATACGAACGAAAAAACGTGGATTAAATATATCGTGGATTCATAAATTGAACTATATATGTATATTTTCTAGTTATTATCACTATACACACATATATATTCATTTATCGGTCTTTGTCTTTCCTGTTCTTTCACCGTACATATATATTCTTTTTCTTAACCTCGTTCTTTACTATATACTTTCCGACAGTTTCTTTATCTTTCTTTTCTGTTAAAATTTAGTCTTTCTTGTCCTTTATTCGTCTCTTCTGAACTATCCAGTACATATATATATATATGTTGTGGTGTATTCAACTGCGCAATTACCATCACATGCCACACATTATATTAAACGATCACAACACTGGTAGTCTCCCTTACATGGCGGCAATGGGAAAAATGAATCTTACAACGATTCATGCAAGAGACACTGACCGGAGGGCTCTTATCGAGGGTCCTGTTTTATTTCTATGTTGTCTATTTCAGATAGTCTTCTACCGCTCTCATTATCACACAACCATCGTCAGATATTCAAGCAAAACCAACAAAAAAAAAAACAAAAAAAAAAAAAAAAAAAAAAATTTTCTTAATTTTATTGTTTATTTGTTTTCTTTTCGTTAAAAAATACATCAGGATGAACCTTTCCCAGAAAAGTTCATGTAATCAACAACGTTTTAGAGACCGTTATATTACACCATATGAACGATTATTACGACGCAATCAATCATGGACGCCGACAAAAGTGAAGAAAGAACAAGAATTACAAGACGAATGTCGAACAGGCCAATTAAACCCCTTCCAACAACCCGAAAATTATTCATGTCACTTTATACATGAAAAAACTGATATTGTTGCTATCGACCAATTAATTGAACAAGCAAAATCAACAACTCATTTCTCGATGGACACAGAAAACGATGCATTAACTCATAAACCGGCTACACTACAGGTAGAATTTATTCGACCATCATTACCATCAACTATCATTATCGTCGAAGTTCAATATTTACCATCAACAACCACCTTATTATTTAAGAAAATTCAAGAATTAATGACCATCATCTTCACTTCAAATCATTATATTTATTCATGGGGCCCAGCATTAAAAGAACTTTCAACATTCCACTCATTTAATCTATTCAATACAAATATTAACATTAAAGACCATGATATACAAAACGAATTTAGTGGCGATGAAAAAGCAGCATTACAAAAGGTCGTAAAAAATGTCTTTCACGAATATTTAAATAAAACGGCCACATTAGCCGAATGGGCATGTGGTATTGATTTATTTTTAGGTACATATCTTCCTGAACATGTGGTTGGTCCCGAACGAACATATCGAATTAAAGAAGAAAAATATTATCGTTCAGTGTTAAAAGATTATGCACTTAATGACGTATTTGCCGTTACAAAATTATGCTACAAATTAGATTTGATTAAACCTTTACCAACAACTGATTATGAAGATATATCAGAAGAAGAAGAAAATCATTTAAATCTACAAGATGAATTATCAATCAATCTTTCTCCAACATATGATGAATTAATAGTTAATGCAATAGCTGAACCCGGAAACATTAATGATAATATGGATTTAGAATTATTACCGGACTTTATGATCCTGCATTTTAATCGAGAACAACATCGTCCAAACCCACAACAATATCAGGATGAACAGTCATCTGGTCAACAGATACCGGTTCATGTATCACCTGAATTGTCTCAGGTAAGAGATTCTTCTAATTTAGGTGAACAAACAACAACAACAACGACCCTGACCGCCAAACAAAAACGCAATCGAAAGACGAACCTCCGCCATCGAAGAAATCGATATCGTTACGAAGTTAAACGCCACGTCTATCATCGATTCAACGTTACAAAAATTAAAAGAATATTAAAATCGATGAATATTTTCTACATCAACATCAATTTGGTCCGTAATCGATTATTTATGGGCCTGAAGACTCGAGAAATAGCCGACGAAGTCGAATATCTGCTCAATGATCATATATTTACCCAACAACATTATCGTCGACTCTATAGATAAAAGAAAAAACAAAAAACAAAAAACAAAAAAAAAAAAAAAAAATATTATATTGTTGAACTGTTTATTTTTTTTTGTTGTTGTTATGTTTCATTTTTGTTGTTATTTTTCGTTGTTATTATTGTTATTTTTCTTGCTATAGTTTATTTTGTGTGCGGACACATTTTTTTTCGGGGGGGGTCGACTGTTACGGGCCGATGCCCTTACATACATTTTCTGTTTGAGCTTTCTATCTTTTTCTCTTTCTCTCTTTTCATCTTCTCCTCCTTTCTCTTTGATATATATATACGTGTGCCTAGATTTCGATTTGGTTATTCCATCTATACGTGTGTGTGTATGTGCATGTGAAGAAAGAGGAACGTATTCCGTATATAAATAAACGAACTCAAAGTTAAGGACAAAAATTCTTTTTTTTATTATTCTAAACTCTCCCTAACAATGGTATCCTGATCATCTCATGTTAGTTTAGGAACTTTTTTGCTGATAAAAGAATATCTCTGTTTGATAAGCTCAAAACAACTTTTGAATTGAGAATGCCGCCTATTGACAATTCTTTTCTATGTTTATGAAATGGATTCGAATGAGACTCGTTATTCGAATCGATTTCTTCATAGGTCTTATTTTTCTTCGGATAAGTTTTCATTTTTCTCACTACTTGATAAGTGTTCGATTAAGTTATAACACAATACTTTTATCATTGATATATTTTCGTGAGAAGAGATAACCAAGAGAATCGAGTTTCTCATCGATCAATTCTGTCGTCAAACAGTTGTCAATAAATTCAAGAACAACTGACACATTCAAGTTTAAACTCGATTTAAAAAAAAATATTAATGTAATTGACAATTTCATCGATCAAAAAGAAAATCCTTATCGTGGATATATTCTCGAAGGAAAGTAATCAGAAACATATATACAACGAATATATGCGCTGGTTTTGTTCAAGAATCGAACATCATCTTTTTCAGATTATGCATTAATTGCTTCTCAACTTTCACTCTAAAATCGATGTATGCTAAGAATTAAGAACAAAATCGAAATTAATACTATTCAAAATTGTTGAGTTTAATCACAGTTTACATAACATTCTTCTTGAAATAGAACGTAATCATATCGTTCCCAAAACGTCCGTCCTGTTACTAAAACAAATCATGCAGTTCGCTTGCTTGCAGAGGCTTGAGCAATTTCAGCCATATTTTACTTTATAATTCAAAATATAAAATCAATAGATAAGCAATCAAAAAACATTTGGTCTGCAATCTCATCAAATGAGTTAATCAACATAGATTGAAATGTGAATGAAACATTGTATTACAATCATAAGTATTGATATGTTCCTATTCGCTCGGGTGGGCATCTTGCGCTTCTTTTTATTTTCATATCTGTGGCCTTTGCCTATCTATTCTCTGTATTTATATTTTGACATATAGATTGCATGTGTTGCGCTTTTTACTATGAAAAAGAAATACACGAAGCAAAAGTCAAATTCGATACAAAAGAAGCAACTGATCAATGTTGTTTCTCATTGAAATAAATATGGAAGAATGAAAATCAGTAATGCGCATAAACCGGCGTCAAGATATTCTCTCGTTATAGGATTTGAATTTTTCACTCATTTTCATTGTGAAAGAAGCATGTTTCATTTTCACGACTACTACAATTTCACGGGCATTCTGCGACTGATACCTTGAATTTCTATATGAAAGCTTCTGATTCATCATTATTTATTTTAATCGATTGAAAAATACCATTAATTTACAAAAGGATTCACTTTAAATGTATCTATTGAAACGCATTTTCGACGGCTGCAGCTGACTGATGGTGGTGTTACATAAGTACAGATCGACGTGCCACGATTTTCTCGATTGTATCTATCTTCAAGAAATCGTGTTCGACGCGCAAGTCGTTTTATCTTACGCACACCATCAGTGTTAACAATTGAATAAACAATATAGCCACTCGGACCACCGCACACTGTACTTCCAGTTGCTTCGATTGCACATTGTGTAATCGAAATACATCCACTCGATTCTGCGATTTCAGCTCTAAGGTTTAAATAAGTAGCTTCTATTTTGTCCCAAGTCAGTGGAGACCCAACGACAGTAATTAAAATATCTGTTGATGATACCAAAAGTTGATTATCGGTAGTTCTATAGTCCTATAACTACTTACTCAATACTAAAAGAAAACGAAGATAGCGTTGCATATTTGTGTTTTGTTCGATGATGTGTTGAAGAAGAGAAAAAGAAATAAAGAGAATAAGATTCTCGCATTGCTTATAAAAAGCACGAAGTCATGAAATTACTCCTTTGTTCTTTACTCTCAATCATGCATAACACAAGAAGGTTAAGTTATTAAACATCAAACTACAAGAAATATCGTCAATTTACTTTCCATTGATGGAAATCTTAAAATAGTAAAATTCATAACAAAATGCTCACCATACTCCTTTGTAATACAATCAATCAACTATTGACGATTCTTGGTCCGCTACGAAGTTTTATTGCCGCATCAACAGAAGTAACATGAGTTATAATTCTATACTTATGCATTCAGTTGAATTAATTTTATTTGATTCTCCATGAAAAACAACTTTGTATAAAACAGTATTGCAACCCTAATTCTCAGAGAAAAACTCTATTTTTGTGACTGTAGGCGCATTGTTATTTCATTGCAAAGTATTCAAATGCATTCATCTTTATGTTCAACGCGTTTGAAGGTATTGATTTTTATCTAAAAATGCGTTTTTTAATTTGAAACAGTCACCCAAAAACACTATTTAAATGAAAAACGAGTTTTGTTTTACAAGTAAGTTGAATAAATACTCACATTCGTATTTTGAGTAAAAATACCGTTGTATGATTTGAAGTTTGCAACCATTTAGGCAAATATTTTGCAGTGACAGACTAAAAAATATATTGCTTAAATAGATGTGTTATAGAGATAAATTTTATCAGTATTGTCTAGCAGAATATGTTTTAATATTACGAAATAAAGAAATACGTGCTTAACAAAAGAACACAAGCGCAGATGAATTAGAAAAAGTTTAATATGAATAAAAAATTCCTTGGGTATGAGTGAGTGTGAATGAATACGGTATCTACTTCCACACTCACAGCCCACACCCATATTAGTCAAAGTTGACTTCGCAAAACAATATTTTCCAATTTGATAAAGACAGAATAAGTTTGTAGCATTTGTTGATCAATGAGCTTACTACCTGTTGACAAAGTCTCATTCGTGACTTGGTGAGTTCTTTTGTATCACTTATGTTACTGTAGTAATAACCAATAAAAAAAAAGACTTTGTTGGAAGCATTCTCAAGAGACAATAGGATCGACTCACTTCTCGATCTTCAATGTTGAGTGCGATCGAAAAAAACTGAAAGCAGCGACAATGAAATAAATAAATGCATAGTTCGTTCATGAAACATTTCTTCTTTTTCTTCTGATCAGAGTTGTGAAACGAGTCAACATGGTTAAGCAATTCGATGTTTGTCAGTCTGACTCATAACACTTTATTCGCGTCGGCATACTTAATGTGTTGGTCAACAGACACCCTAAAGAACATCATCATTTGGTGAATTATCAATATTAACAGCTGTTTTATCACTTTCTTTGGTTTTATGAATTAGTAACTTCCCATGCTGAAAATCAACTAGGTCGAAACAAATCCATTATGTCTTCTTCCTCATATGTACATTAATCAAAAATATGTTGTGACAGTCGATATTGAATTTTCTTCCAGATACTTTGTGTATGAATATCTTCTGTTATTTGATTGCGCAGACAAATATCGATACAACAGATAAAAATGATACTAGAATCATTGGCCGACGAATTATTACTTCATATATTCGAATATTTATCTACCAATCATTTGATCTATGCATTTCATGGTCTCAGCTCTCGATTCCATTCTCTTCTTTGCCATTATTTCACCATCTATGGTTTAGATTTTCGATCGATGCAATCTGTCGAGAATATCTTTCAAAATTGGTCGATAAAGTGCCTGCATTATACTTATCGGAAGAAAGCCGATCATCTGAAATACTTGATCGATTCAATGCTCATACTTTCGCATTAAGTCAATTTGTTTATTTGAAATCACTCTCATTGATTTCTCTTCCGCATGAACAGTTACGGAACGAAATCATACTAGCATTACCTCACTTCGTTAATCTCATTCACTTGACTATCAAATATCGTGTCTTTGAAAATATTCTGTGTCCGAAGCTATCTATTGCGTATCCTTTGATAAACTGCATATGGAGTCTACCGAAGCTCACTCATTGTTACTTTCATTTGGATTGTGAAAGCTTCACAGAGCCAACTGTAAGATCATCAAGTGTTACCTACCTATCAGTGTTCGGAGTTGATTTTAGTAATTTAAATATGAGTCGTCTGTTTGAAAATACACCAAATCTTCTATATTTCTCAACATCATTTGTCTGCACTTGTTCTAAAAAATTCCTAACGTCATTTATTCTTTTCATTACTTCATAGAAGATATCGCTATACTTTTATGACCATGATATTTTACATAATATCTCGCAATGGATGTCGATTGAAAGTGGACAGCGAATATCACATTAATGGATATAAATGGGAACAAATCATTTCTAATTATTGACTCAAACTCAGAATATTTCATTTTAAAATGACAGAACGCATTGAATAAAGAATTGATCAATTACTCAATACATTTCGAACTCCATTCTGGCTTGATAAGCATCAATAATTTGTTCTATGTAATTGGAGTTCAACGACAGGAGAGATTTCTCTTCATTCTTTACCATATGCTTTTGAAGATTTTTACATCGATAGTCCATTACTCGGAAAATCCACTTGCCCTCATCAGCAAAACCTGCGCTCATATGACTACGTACGTAAATTAACATTCAATGTTATTTCTTCGTCATGTTCTCATCTATCTGATATTCAATTTTATAATCTAGAAGAACTAAACATCATCTTACCTGTCAATGATTATTTCCGGTCGAT